AAGTAGGGCTGTGTGAAATTAACTAGAAAAGAAATATCAAGATACTTGTGATTATTAATGAGTACTATATAGATAATAAAACTAGACCACGTGATAGAAAATAACCTGGGGACAGGGTTACTTATGCAGGGTTGGCTTTCTAGAAGGAGACATTGGAGTTGGGACTTGAATGATGAAGAGCAGCCTGAAGAGTCCAGAGTCCATGGGACAAGTCTGGGAGACAGCACTCCAGGTAGACAGTAAGTGCAAAGGCCCTGATGCAGGTAGGAGTTCAAACTGTCTGGAAGGCCATGTGACTATAGATAGGAGAGTGAATGGGTGCGTGGTAGGAGGGATTGGACACTGGGTGAAATGAGACTAGAGAGGTAGGCAAGAGCCAGACCACAGTAGCCTTTTGGGTTGTGATAAGGTATATGGGCTTTGTTCTGATTGATCTTATTTACTTTTTTTTTTCAATCATTAAAGGTGTATTAAGGAGTGGGACAAGAATGGAAGAAGAAATGACAATAGGGAGGATGTTTTCTTACCTAGGTGAGAGAAGCAAACTCTTTCCGTAAAGGATCACACAGTAAACATTTTAGGTTTTGTGTGCTATATAATCTCTGTCATAATACATTCTTCTCCTCTCTCTCCTGCTTCTCCTCCTCCTTTTTAGACAACCCTCTAAAAATGTAAAAACCATTAGTCTTGGGCGATACAAGAACAGGAGTTTGCATGCTGGATTTGGACTGTCTAGCTGGGCAGTAGTTTGCAAACCCCTGGCTTAGAGAGAAGTAGAAACTGACTGGCATGTATTTAGGACACAGAATGGGTAGGACATGCTGATGAACTGGGTCTGTGTGGGGAGGGGGTAAGAGAAAGAGGAAACAAGGATGGCCTCAGTGAAGAAGTAGAAGGTGGTGCCATTTACTGAGATGGGGAAGAAGCACATTTGGGAGTGGGGGGAGAGGGGAAATTAAGAGTTAAGTATGAGTTGCCTATTAGTCATCCAATTTGGAGATGTCAAGTAAGGAGCCTGATATAGACTCTGGAGCTGAGAGGTCAGGGCTGGAAATCCACATTTGGGAATTGGGGAGTTATCAGACTATGGATGCATTTAAAGTCATGGGAGTGAATGAGATCATCCCCCAAATGCAGCACAAAGGTTCCAGGAACAGGTCTTGGGAGACTTTAGAACTTAGAGAACCCATAGAAGTCCTTGGAATCATTCTCTGGGTCAAAGACACATGACAAATATTGCCAAATGGCTTTCCAAAAGGGTCTTTTGCATCTTCACAGAACCCACCTTGTTTTAGCTGCTTAAATACACTCTATGAGTGGGCCTGTACACATGAATGGGCAGAGACACCAGAGTTAGGAATTCTTGACTGCTTCTGCATGGGAGTGGGGAGCCTCAAGCCACACTGGAGGATTCAGCTGGTTAAAGGAGGCATCGAGAAGGCAGAAGGCAGATGGCTAAAGCCCTTCTAACCACAGAAAGGACTGTCCAAGGACTTCTAACCACAGAAACACCCAGCAAGTTTATCACAAATGCAGATTCTTAGTAAGAGTTCTGAATCATTGTCTGGGGTGAGGTGTGTTTTAAACATGCTCCCTCTCTATAAACAAAAGGTTGAAAAACCTGTGGCTTAGGGATAGTCTGGGTAAAGAGTATGTCCTGGTGACATCTATTCAGCTCCAGAGGCCCCAGGGGCTTCAGGAATCTTGGGAACCTGGGTCCAGCTGGGGAAGTTTCAGGATGATAGGATAGCAGAGACTGTTAGGCTAGGAAGAAACATTTTTTCTGGTTGTGGCACTCTTCCTGTTTGCTCTCCAATTCATGAGGCCTTTTCCCTGCAACAAATGAAAAATGGTACCTTCTTTAATGCAGATGTAGAGTTTAAAAGTTTGGGTTCCCTAGGAGTATCTACTCTGCCCTCTAGTTCCATAGCATAGAGGGGAAAATTTTTTTCCCCTGCATTTTATTGGCAAAATTGAAATTGTATCTACACTTTAGATACATCATGGATTAAATACATTTGTGTGAAAACAGCTAAGGAATAATTGAAGGAATTTGCTGTTAGGTCTTTTGCTAGGAGCTAAGGGATCAATATTGCATTTACTGAACCATTATTTATTGTGCCTTCTAAGTGCCAGGCCCTATTTTATTTTATCTATCTATCTATCTATCTATCTATCTATCTATCTACTTATTTTTAGTTTATGTATGCAAGCCCCAAGTGCAGCTCAGGGCACATTCCCATGACCAACTGTGAGATCATGACCCGAGCCAAAATCTCAAGTCAGACGCTCAAACGACTGAGCCACCCAGGTGCTGCATCAGGCCCTATTTTAGATTCAGGAGATAAAGCAATGAAAAAAATAGACAAAAATCTCGGCCCCTCACAAAACAGATACCCTAGTTAGGGAGACAGACTAATAAACAAGATAAATATGTACAGTGTATATAAAATAGTGGCGAGTGCTAGGAAGAAAAATGTGAAGGAGGGAAGGGAGACAAGAAATAATTGGAGGCAGGATAAGTGAGAACATAGGACAAGAAAGTACACGTGGGCTGTGACTTGGGAAAGTAACTCAATTTCCCTAGGTCTCAGTTTCTTCATCTGTAAAATAATAAATAATGGTACCTTCCTGAAGAAGGCTCAGGCCCTCAGACTGACTTTGTCACTTTTAAACAATGGGATCTATGGGGCGCCTGGGTGGCGCAGTCGGTTAAGCGTCCGACTTCAGCCAGGTCACGATCTCGTGGTCCGTGAGTTCGAGCCCCGCGTCGGGCTCTGGGCTGATGGCTCAGAGCCTGGAGCCTGTTTCCGCTTCTGTGTCTCCCTCTCTCTCTGCCCCTCCCCCGTTCATGCTCTGTCTCTCTCTGTCTCAAAAATAAATAAACGTTGAAAAAAAAATTTTTAAACAATGGGATCTGGAGTGTGAAAGATCTTTGGCCTCTCAGAACCTCAGTTTCCTCATCTGTAAAATGAATAGACTTGCCCAGCCTATGTCATATGGTGTTTGAAAATGTCAAGTGAGATAATTACATGAAAATATTTTTTAAAATAAGCTATTATATAAATGTAAGATAGAAATTAAAATACATGCATAGATAGAAATTAAAATACATGCATACACACACGCATGCGCGCGCGCACACACACACACACACACACACACACACACACACACACAGGATTTTATGGGTTGCAAATCTTTGGCTGATGGTCAGCAGAGCATAAGGGCTGAGAATAAACAATGAATTGAATAACTCCTTGATACTGATTCCCTGCATGGGCAGGGAAAAGGCCAATGCAAATTATGAGGATGTGCTGAGTAGACTAGCAATCTTATCCTAGATCGGGGATAAAATAATCAAACTAAATGTTCCTAAATGGACACCTCATAAAATAATTATTATATGGCATTTGTCAAATTTTAAAATGTTTTACAGCTCCTTTATGTTTGTTCTTGTTTTGTTTGTGGGACTTCAGTTCCAGGAAAAGAACTAGATGGACTGAAAGGAGTTATAAATACAGAACAATCATTTAAATTGCTAAAAGCAGATAGTCCAACTTCTGGGTATTTCTGTAGCTGATCAATGAAAAGCAATCAAAGTAGATGATTCTAAATTTAGGCTCTTGTGTATTCCTTTTTCATCTTCATATTTTCTTCATTCCTGACTATTTGATAGCAATAGTGGTTAAATCAAAACATGTCAGTATTCATGCACGGTATAGTGTACCATCATCACATAGTAGGTACTCAATAAATATTTGATAAAAGAACATATGAGCGATTACCATGTACATTTACTTACTACAGAGTAGCCTATTTGATCCCTAAAGTGTTTATGCATTAAAAACACGTAATTACTTGACAACGCTTATCTGGTAAATGGCATCGGCTCCATTTTTCAGACTGAACTAAAACAGTGTGTTTTATTCAATTTAAATGGAAAATACACGGGCACCAGACTGCTTCAGTCCGGTGGAGCATTCAACTCTTGATCTCAGGGTTGTGGGTTCCAGCCCCCACCCTGGGTGCAGAGATTACTTAAAAATAAAATTTTATTTTATTTATTTATTTTTTTAATTTTTTTCAACGTTTATTTATTTTTGGGACAGAGAGAGACAGAGCATGAACGGGGGAGGGGCAGAGAGAGAGGGAGACACAGAATCGGAAACAGGCTCCAGGTTCTGAGCCATCAGCCCAGAGCCTGACGCGGGGCTCGAACTCACGGACCGCGAGATCGTGACCTGGCTGAAGTCGGACGCTTAACCGACTGCGCCACCCAGGCGCCCCAAAATAAAATTTTAAAAAGAAAATACAAAATCCAAATTTCGTTGAATGTTACCTAACATAGTAGGTGCCTGAGGTTTACTAAATAAGATACACATTCAGAAAGCAGTTACTCCAGCAGTTACTGTGCTCAGGTGCACGATCTGTGCCTACGCCCAGCTCACATTCATCAGGTAACCCATACACCTAATCTGAGATACTGGCTCCGCTCGCCTAATAGCTAAATTAGAATCTTTCCGCTCAGCCTCTCGAAGTTTTCTTCTCTAGTGCTCAACGTGTCAGTTGTCACCAAGGCAGCAAGGTGCTGGGAAGGCCCAACTGCCTGCGCCCCGCCCGGCGGGCCTTGGAGGCCGATGGGCGGGACTAACCAAGGGCCTTTGTGGCCGTTTCCTATTGGTGCTTGGTTGCTATGGTATCACCGACCTTAAAAACTCGCGGGCACTACTTCCGGAAGTTAAAAAAGAATTACTTCCAGGGCTGCCCACACTTGTTACGGCTGAGTGAGCGGTTACTAAGGTTAACAAAAATAAAACTTTTGAGGGAAACTTCTAGAAAACCGAATTTAACCATTTTAATTTGTTGATATTACGTGGTATCATATCATGTTTTCCCTTTCAAGAGATTTATCATATAGTCCTCGTTTATTTGCCAGTCTCCAAAATGGCGCTCACGGCATTCGGTCAGAGGTGAGTCACGTGGGACCTCCCGGTTCCGGCGCGGTAGAGGCCCAAGGAGGTGAACCGTCTCCGGCACCATGTCTGGTTTGTCTGGCCCACCAGCTCAGCGTGGCCCTTCCCCGTTGGCGGTGCTGGTTTTATTCCTGCTGGGCCCCAGCTCGGTGCTCGCCATCTCCTTTCATCTCCCCGTTAACTCCCGCAAGTGCCTCCGCGAGGAGATCCACAAGGACCTGCTGGTGACGGGCGCGTACGAGATCACCGACCAGTCTGGGGGCGCTGGCGGCCTGCGTACCCACCTCAAGGTGCGGCAGTGGGCGGCGCGGGGAGGGAAGACCGTAGGCGTCGACCGAGGATGGGGTGGGGGGGCGGCCTGGGGCCTGGAGGGCGGCCTGGCCTCCCTGAAGCGCGATGGGTGCGCGGTCGAGACCGCCCCCTCATCCGGCTGGTCGGAGTTGGCGGGGCGGGGCGGGGCGCCAATTGCAGGGAACCCTTACAAGGGCCGCGAGGCCTTGCTGGATGTGGTGACCGCTGAGCTGGGGCGGCCTCGACTTTGGTTGTGGTCGGGGTCCTGTAAGTGTTCCGGTCCTAGTTATCTTGAACTGGAACTTGTTTCTCCGAAGAGGCCTCTGCGTGTTGAGTATGTGTCGGGCTTGGCATCATCAGACCCCCTGAAACCTGCAGGAAAATCATGGAAGGGCTGAAGCTTACCGTGAATAATAAAACCCGTTATTTGTTGAGCATTAGCTGTGTGTCAGGTCCTGTGCCACGTTACATATGATACTATTTAGTTCGTTACCGTTGGTTTCATCTTACACGTGAGCAGACTGAGGCTTAGAGCGATGTAGAATAAATTGATGTCCGAGCTGGAATTCTTGGTTTGGGAGTTCAGTAAGGTGAAAGAAAAGGACTGCAGTCTTACACTCGCCTTGCTTTTTATTTGTCATACCTGTGATTGGTTAAAGTCGATCGTTGGTCACAAAATGGTCACTCTGTAGTATTTTTTTAACGGTACCCCAGAGTTTGGATTTGGTCAATTTTTATGCAAGATTTCAACAGTATTCGTTGATGGTGACAAACTACTACTGTAATGCCAGTTTGGCCCTCTTGTGCCATTAGGATGACCAGCGCTGTCTTTGAAAAGTTAATATAATATGATACCCATAAAGCTTTGATTGTTTTATTCATTCGGGATAAGTGCACAGTTTGTTAAGAAAAATGGGTCTTAGACTAAATAGGAAGAAACCTTTTTACTTTTTGATAGAGCTTCGGGTATAGTAAGACCATAATTTATGTTTAAGGTATTGGAACCCAGTAGTGGTAATTATTTATATTTTATTTGGGAGATATAAACTATTTTTAGGGGTTTGCTCAGTGACCTTTTCTTTTATTATTCTCTTCAGATACCAAACTTCTGTCTGACCAAGAAAGCTGTGATCATATAATTTTAGAGGTTTAGATACAGTGTTTTGAGAGTCATGCTGCTGACTCCTCGAAGGATGTAGTGCATAGAATAAGAGAATTTGAGCAATAAAGGAGATGTTACTCTCATCTCCAGTGTTGTCCCCTCTGATTTATATTTATATTTTGAAACCCTTCAGTGGCTCACTGTTGCTCATCTGATAAAGTTTAAATTTTCCAGCTTGCTCTGTAGCGCTCTTTATGATCTCTTTCTGGAGCTTTATGTATTTGGTCCCCATTTTGCATTTTAGGTACGAGCCACCCTGAACAGTACCCTGAACTTATTTTCATCTGATATTGTAGCTATTTGTCTTTATACCTTGTCTTTCTTATTAGATTGTTAGTATTCTGAGGGCAGGAATTATTTTCATGTTCATATTTTCCAGAATCTCAAGCATTTGGCCTGCCTTCTAGTAAGCCGTTAATAAATACAGGAAGCATAGTTTAGCTTTATGGCCTCATGTGAATTATATCGCCTCCAAGACTGCTGGAGACACCTCAACAACACTAACATTTTGCCATCACTCAGTTGGTCTCCCCACGTGTGCTTCGTTCTCTTGCTTCTAACCAGCTTAATTGGATTACTCCTGGGATCCTAAACCCAAATAAATGCCAGGTAGGCAACATAAATGAATGAATTGGGACAGATATGATTATAAACAGTGGCAGTGATGATACCTGGGAGACGCTGGGAACTGTTAATTTGGGGTAGCCAGTACCGATCTCTTGATGTAGGCCTTGTTGCCACATCTAATTTTCACATGAAGTCAGAAATCCAGGTTTTGATGTGAAATCTCCTGATTTTTAAATGTCATCAACTGATTCAAATTGGTTTGGTTATGGTTTGTTTGCAGTTTTATAGAGAAGAGTATGGTCAGTCCGCCATGAATACAGTACCCAGACTCAATACTTACCAGGGTCTTGCCACACTTGTTTCATCGAAACTGCCTCTCCTTCTCATTTTATGCTGAATTTTTTTTAATGTTTATTTTTGAGAGAGAGAAAGCAAGCACGAGTGGGGGAGGGGCTGAAAGAGGGCGGGGAACAGAGGATCTGAAGCAGGCCCTGCGCTGATGGCAGAGAGCCCGACGCGGGACTCAAACTCACGAACCAAGAGATCTCGACCTGAGCCGCAAGTTGGATGCTTAACCAAAGTCGGATGCTTAACCGACTGACCCGCCCTAGTGCCCATATGCCGAATTGTTTTAAAGTAAATCCTAGATATCATGGTATTTCAGTCTTGCACACTTCAGCATGAATTCCTTTAAGCACGTAGTCACGGTGTTATGTGGCTATACTCACTCCTCACAAAATTAATAATGCTATCCAGTAGTACCCAGTTCATATTCAGGTTTCTCCACTTGTCTCAGAAATATGTTTTTAAATTAATTTCTTAGATCTCTCAAGTCTTCTTTAATCGAGTCTTGGCAGTTGTATTGTCAGTCAGTTGTCCGTAAAATGTCCTATACTGCGGCTTTGTCTGTTTACTTCCTTGAGGTATCATCCAAACAGTTCTTTCTGCTCCCTGTGTTTCTTGTAAAAGGAATCAGCTCTAAGATTTGCTGCAGTTAGTTTCAGGTTTATCTTTTTGGTGAAGAGTACTTCGTGGGTGCTGTATGCCTCATGCGGCATCGCAGCAAAGCACACAGTACTTTCTGTGCCTCTCAGTGCTAAGATTGATCAGTGGGTTCACCTTTGTGTTAGCGTCCTACTGCTGCTGTAGCAAATCACCACAAACTCAGTAGCTTAAAACGAGACACATTTATTTATCTGACAATTCGGAGGTTAGAAGTCATAAAATCAAGGTGTCCACAAAGCTGTGTTGTTTCTGAAGGCTCTAGGTGAGAGAATCCATTTCCTTGTCTTTTCCAGCATCTAGAGACTGCCTGCATTCTTTAGTTGGTGACCCTTCCCCCATCCTCAGAGCCTGTAATAAGTATCTCTAAATCTTGCTTTTTCTCCCTCTTTCCCACCGTCTCTCTCCCCCTCCCTCCTCTGCTTCCATCCATCATCTCCTTCTGATTTTCCTGCTTCTCTCTTTCCCTTATAAGGACCCTTGTGATAATCTCTTTATCACAGACCCTAATTTAATCACACTTGCAAACCCCCTTTTGCCATGTACTATAACATTCATGGGTTCTGAGGATTAGGGTGTAGACATCTTTGGAGAGGTGGGCATTATTCTACCTACCTAAGGTGGTAGCAGCCCAAAGTCTCCATTGTAAAGCTTCTCATCATTCTTTTACTTCTGAGTCTATTGCTGACTGTTGTGCGAATTTCTTGTTTCATTAAGGTTGTGTAATGATGATTTTCTAATTTTGTTATTCCTTCCATATTTGCTAGCTGGAATTCTTTTTTTAATTTTTAATGTTTATTTATTTTTAAAAGAGAGAGACAGAGTGCGAACAGGGGAGGGGCAGAGAGAGGAAGACACAGAATCCAAAGCAGGCTCCAGGCTCTGAGCTCTCAGCATGGAGTCTGATGCGGGGCTTGAACCCATGAACCCACGAGATCATGACCTGAGCTGAAGTCAGACGCTTCACTGACTGAGCCACCCAGGTGTCCCTTAGCTGGAATTATTCTTAAAGAATTCATCAACTTTCAAAATCATTTAGTTACCCTAAAATTTTTAATTCATGTAGAAAAGGCAGGATAAATGCAGAATTCATTCCTTCTAATTGACAATTTTCAGAGTAAGAGAGAGTTGCCTTTGTCATTCGAATGTAGTCTGAAGAAGGTGTTATTTTAATGAAGTATTATACTGAAATCATTTTTTGTTATTTCCATTTTTAGAGTCATTGTTTTTATCACTTGCATTCTTTCTTTAGGCTCACATGTCCCTCTGGTTCCTGTAGCCTTTTATTTTAACACAACCCCATTAGGGTTTGATAGCTTCCCTGTTTTGCGGAACAAGGTATCCTAGGCTCATCTTTCGTCTGCGCAACCACTGACCTGGAAGTGGCGGTTCCTCCAAGGAGTTCTGTCCATTTTTGTGGGGAATGGTATTTTAGAGACCACAAGCTGGGTGTCATTTTAAAAAATGTAATATACTGTTCAGGCCACAGAACACTTTTGTTGGCTTGATCCAGTCCCTTATCACGGTTTGCAACCTTTTTTCATAGCATCTATTCACTTTCTTTTAAATTTTGACCACTTGTGCCCCACACTCTGCCCAAGGATTCTCTGTGGATCATTTCTGCTTCTGAAGTATACCTCTTGAGTGAGAGAATCTGATTGGTTCAGCTCTTTTTTATACGCCAGGCCACATTTCAGGTTTCTCACAGCCTACTGACTGTCTTCTCTTGGGTGTTTTGTCCATCCTTGGTTCAAGCAGCCATGGTTTGGGCTGAGGTTAAGAGGGGAGCTGGAGGCTTTCTGTAGTGTAAAATTTAGCTAACCGGACTTGGCATTTCGTTGTTGCTCTGAATAAGGCAGTCTCTCTCATAAGGGTCTTTGTGAATATAGTGCCTCGATTGGCCTAATGCACTTTCTTCCTGGCAGGGAGTACCTTAATGTCCAGCGAATATATCAATGTTTTCACGTATCACTGTATGTTGTAGTTCTGTGTTTATATACACAGTTTTGTGTTTTCTTACATAGACTCTAAACTCCTTGAGCAGAGATTGTATTTCATTCACCATTGAAATGCCTGTCTAATACAGTGCCTGGCACATAGTACATAGTAGGACTTCAACATCAGAAATTAATGGACAAATGAATTGGCAGTGTCCTAGCCGTATCTCTGATTTTTTTTCTCCTCTTCCTTCCTCTTCATGTCTTTCCTCCCACTCCTGACTCCAACCGTACTGAACCTCGTGCAGTTCCTTGAATGCAGTGTTCTCTT